CGACTCGCGACACGTGTGATTACAGTAATGATAGGCAAAGGCATGTATAATGTTGGTATAAGTTGATCGGTAGAGAAAAAGAAAAAAATAAAAATTATGTCTAGATACGCGCCCGCGTTTGTTCGACACTCGAAAATAATCTAGATACACAAACTAGTTTGTTAAAAAGCAATACGGCCATTACGGTCATGCTTGTATTTGTTAAGTACCAAATTTACTGATCCGATGCACCTGTAAAATTCGCGAGTAGTGGTTTGGTTAATACGCATTTAGGGCCCCGTTGCTCTGGAAACGACAAAAAGAAAGGAGCAGCTTCCCCCGGCGTGCAATTTGCTCTCTCCCCAAATTATAGGTTAAGTTTTCATAAAATATCTTATTTAAGATAAATTTTACTTGATAGAATTACTTTTTTAGTCAGTCGAATTTTGCATATAATGGTTAAATTTTAAAAAATGCCCGGATAAAATTTTTATTTCCAAAAAGTATACTGACCTATTGTAGGCTTTCAAAAGTTTATTGATTAGAATTGTAAGTTGTCAACGCAATAATTATTTTACTCAAGTATTGGGTACTGCAATATTTCATTATTGATTGAAATATTTATTCATATACTTTTTCTGTAAAGGATACACAAATTAAAGATTACGACATTCCCAAGGGCACTATGGTTTTGTCAGTTTTATGGGCGATTCATTTGAATCCTTTGTATTGGCCTGACCCAAACGCTTTCAAACCAGCAAGATTCATATCCGAAGATGGTAGTCTTAAAAAACCAGATGCTTTTTTCCCATTTCAATGTGGTTAGTTTTATTTAATTTTTTTTAAAATTATTTGACCATTGTTTTTTGCTAATGTATGACAATGTACATTAAATAAAAATAAAAATAATAAAAATTAAATTTAGGTAAAAGAATGTGCATTGGAGATGAGTTAGCCCGTATGATGCTGTTCCTCTTCAGTGCTCGAATTTTGCAGAAGTTTTCGTTGTCAGCTCCACTAGATCACACGATAGACTTGGAAGGACAATGTGGTATTACTTTGGTGCCAAAATCTCAAAGAATAGTATTTAAAAAACGACGATAGGCATTATTATTCCGAGAGATTTATTTGCAATACCTAAAAAGAGTTAAGTACATGGGACTGACTTTGTTTGAAAGTTGTCTTATTTTCACATAAAAATGATAAATGATATCAGTAAACAATTATTGAAAAATTTGTAAATATTTCTTTTTTGCAATAAAAACTGTTTCATAAAGATTACTGGCCTTTTTTCGTTTTTACCCTCTACCACAGAAAAATAAGATGATTTATTTATAATGATTTTTTTAAAATGTATCATCGGTAAGTGACTTTCGAATAAAAATTGTATTTTATTGTAAAATATAAACATTCAAATTCCCAATTAAATTAACATTTATTGTCTTAAGTTTGAAGGAACGTTGATCATAGGACTAATCCAGGCAAAGGCTCACATGCTCATGTTCATATTGGTAGTACGTTATTGAGCTAAAGCAGTACTAGTCATTGATTTTCAGAATGCAATTAAAAATTATATTTCAGTTATAAACATCTGCAGTTTTATGCTTGGCTCCGATGACTAAGGATGAAGTTTCATCATTGGACACTGGTTAAGTGACTCCAAGAAGTTACGCCACGCTTTATTTGGATTCTCGATGGCAAGACAGTTTGGCTGTAAGGTACCTACACGACATACATTGGAAGGTTACACAATTAAATTCTTAAAAAAGTGGTGACATGGCCTTGATCAGTAAATTTTGTCGACACCACTCACCCACTATCCGAAATTTAATTATAACTTCTCTTTAAAAATATCATCTATACATTGTTTAATTAGATTTTTATTGAAAAATATACATAAAAATAGAATTTTACATTTTTTTACATCATAATTAATAACTATTTGTGACAATTCGTAAATTGGATATTTTGTTTCCTTTAGCTTTAAAGACCGAAATCACATTTTTTTTCACATAGTCCTTTTTGAGCTGAAAAAAAATTGTGCATCATTTTCAAGCAATGTCTTTTCAAAGATTCTGACCTGCCGAGAAATGTTTGTATGAGAATACTTTAACAGGTAATCACGCATCTTAGTCACTTTCGTTTACCGTTAAATAATAGGTGCAGTGCTTAGTGCTTTCTTTTTTGGTGTTTAAAAATATTGACACCATTTCCAATTAGTTATTATTATGTTCTAATATAGATTTACCAAAAATAAAAATTTTTTAAATTGTTTAATTGCCGATCATTCCCTCTATCCCAACTCGTTTCACATGCCACAAAAACATCCAAACTTGGATAGATGTTATTTTGACCGACTCCCCCGATCGTACTGTTAATTCTCCTAAAAATTTTCTATCCTTCATCCTGTAAACGATTTCATGGTAACCGATATTACTCAGTGCCACAGGTTTTTTTTCTTTTTTTTTCTTTTTAGTTTTCGCCAGCCAGTCAGTCCTTACGAGTCTGGCGCCTTGGATCACCCGAGCATTCATGGCTAGATTTAGGCCTTGTGATGCACCATTCAAGGGAGCCGAGCAAGACAAACACTTACAACCAGCGAGCCCTGAAGCGAATACCGCATACGCTTCGCCAAGCCTGAAAAAGGGAGCTTGCTGGGGAGCGTGATCGAGGTTTTCTTCTCGGATGTCCTTTCTCGCTCGACTGACCGCTCGGGCTGCCAGCGGGGGGTCAAACGCGATCCTTCTACACAATTTTACCCCGGAAATGTTACATTTGCCTGCTCGTTGCAAATTTTACATCCACAACAACAGTTTACCTTTCCTTCGTTGATGCCGTTTCCTTACGCCAGGAGACTCTTACCCACGCCCTGACAGTCTAGCAATTCCTTCGTGGTATACTTATTTAACACCTTTACTTCAATGTGATTATTAGCCTCTGTAAAATCACCTTCAATCTCGACCTTCGAACTGTCGTTAATATGCTTTATCCAGGCAAAATCTTTGACAACCTAATCACTCCACGAATTATTATCTCATATCTTCCATCCAATGATCTTTGATCTCCCTTTTTTTGCGAGAATTTTAACTTTCGCTCAAATCGGTCTTTTGTAAATGCTATGGACGATATCAAGTGCGGTGTCAACAGTGCTTGGGCTCTTTGATGCCAGCCACACGCTTTTGACTCATTAGACAACTTCATTTTTATCGTCAGACTGACTGATTTTGGCTTCTCGAGTGCAGCCATTCTTATCTTACTGTTAGAAGTCAGCCTTGACGGTAGGTCTTCCGATTTCATGTTAGGGGCGCTACGGGGGACCTACCCCTGGACGCCCGACACAGAATGGCTGGGTTTTACTGCCACTAAAGGTGAAGCCACAGTATTTTACACACGTCTTTTCCACGTGAACATTTCGTACAAGCGGCAGATATGTCGTATATATATATA